GTTTAAAATATGCATGTAATGTTTAAAAATAACAATCATTCATATTTATTTTTATAAACAATAAATCATGTTATTTAGATTCTAAAATTTATCTATTTCTCTAAAATATTTCATACCCGAATACGGTGCGGGTCAATTATCTAGTGCAAAGTAAATAGCAAAACATTAAGCATACACACTTTTATTTTGTTAATTGTAGCCTATTAGATTTTCTCGATTAAAACTCCATTTTCTAATACAAAAAATAACCACTTAACTGGTAAAGGGCGAACAGTACGGAATAGTTCTCTCTAGCATGGGACTCGAGGCACTCAACCTTCAACCGGCTCGCCGTCGTGCCTGAGCCTCTTCCCCAACAACATAAAGCTTCTCCGACAGTGTGCGATTGCGAGATGACGTTTCACCTTATGGTCCGAGCACTCTCCTTCTCCTCGGGCGGTAACCCGCGGGTTGATCGGAGTGAAACCCACGACTTTCGGGTGAAGCAAGTCTCGTCGATGGCCAAGCCCCCGCCACCGCCTGAGCCTCCGGACCCGCCGGACCCTCCGTGGTGTGGCCCAGATTCCTCTTATGTGGTCGCATCGTCGATCTCTCCCCCTTGCTAACCTCGCCAATTCACAAGTCGTTGGCTTCATCTTCTGCTCCTTCGACGGCGAGACCCAATCCCCGCCCAGATCCCAACCCGTCCCCGCCGGCGCATCCCTTACCGGGATCGTAGCTCCGGAGGGTGGCCATGGCTCTCCTCCGATCCTCTGCTATCATCACCCCTCTCGCTTCACCCTCACCGTTACCGAGCCTCCATCATTGTCCACGGATCCAATTCCCACTTTGTCGACGACGAGATATTGTGGCGCAGAAGCGCCGCCTCCACCTCGCGATCTCACCTTCCAGCTGTATCACCGTCGGCTCTCACCGGAATCTCCCCCGAATCTGAACGGCACCAGATCGGGTTGGAGCTCGGCTTGGATTCAACGGCTCACCACCTCATTTGTTGGATTCCGCAACATCTACACCCTAACCCGACCTATTGGTCACCACCGATCTCCTTTGGCGGCCGCCGGAACTATAATCGCCGGCAAGGACTCCCTGCAAAAACTCGTGGTCAACAACGACACTTCCGTTGACTGGATTTATTTGTTGATGGGCCTTTGGCTGTTAATGGGCCGAATCCGAATCAGGCCAATCATTATGTATAATGGGCTGAGACTGATTCTGGATATTTGTGAGGTTCTAAGGGGCTTTTCTAAGTCCAATCTGCTGAGGCCAACTTGGGGATGGTTCTCTATTATCTTTGCCCAGCTTTAAAGTTTTCTGAATTCTCAAATCCTGCAAGTTACTCCCGGTGGAAGAAATTAGTTTCACTTTTTACCATCTCTTTAAGAGTGGTTGTATCCTCCCTCTCTTTGAGAGTGGTCGAACTCCCGAGCTTTTTGACGGGACCTTCAAAGTCACATTCAAACATGATTACCCTGAGACTCTCCGGCCTTGCTGCGAAGTCCTTCTGGACGCATCCGAGGCATACCTTGGATCCGCTGTCCTGCATCTTCTGCGATGATCTATCTGTTCTAAGTTTTATTGCATTTCAATTATGTTTTAGTAATGCTAGAGGATGCTTAATTCTCTCCCTTTGTACTTTAATCGGTTAAATGAATGAAATAACTTTGTTGAC